GGTTTATAGTGATGCGACAAAAATGTAAATGCGATATCGTCCAGGATTCTGCGGTATAAATCTCGCGTTAATGTGTGGGGCGAACGACGTGGCGCTGACTACAGAAACGAGTCGGAGGGAAAGAGAGAGCAGCGGAGGTAGCGAGGTAAAAAGGGAAAGAGAGAAAGGCAGATAACGAGAGAGAGTCGACGAGAGGGAGAGAGAGAGAGAGAGAAAGTGGAGAGAAGCGGCGGGGAGAAGAGAGGAGGAAGAGAGAAAGAGGAAAAGAGATTCCGTCGTAGCGTTCATTAGGAATCCCTCCGTCTCCCTCAGCGCCACCCTCGTGTACCGAATCAGAGCGGGGGAGGGCGCGAGAGCGACGGAGAGAACGACAGGGAAAGAGAAAAAGAGAGAGAGAGAGAGGGAGAAGAGCTTGGTGACAGAGCGAGAAGGAGAGGGTGGAAGAGCGAGGGTGCCGCGATAGATCACGCGGGCGGCAGCGCTCCTTCGAAAAACATCCATAAAACGCAGTAGGGCGGACTCAGCGACAATAAACTCTACATATAAATCTTGTCCTCTGACGCCGTGATACGCTGATGGCGAGCACGATAATCTCCGAGAATGCGGGTCCCTCTTCTTCTCTCTCTCTCTCCCCCTCCCTCTCTCTCCCTCCTTCGTCTCTTTCTTCTTCTTCTTCTTCTTTCTCCTTCCCATTCCGTCCACTCTTCGCTCCCTCGCAACGCCACCGACTGCTCTGCGCAGTCTTTCACCTCGGACGTTCCTTCGTCGCGTACGCACCACCGTACAGCGATTGCATTTGCATTGCCAAAAGGCTAGTCGTGGCGCAGCTCGAGTCCACGCACGCCGGCGCTTGGTTAACGAGAAACTCGCCTCGAGAACAGCGGCGTGTATCAGTCACGAGAGATATTCGATTAGAGGGACGAGATACGCGCGATAATTACCGAGTAACCGTCGATTCCCCGTCGCGATTGATCCGCGCGAGGTATCTCGTCCTTCAAAACGAGTCGTGCGAAATCGCGCGCGCGGCGTCGAGTCGCCACCATCGCCGCCATCGCCGTGAGAAGAACAAAAGGCACGTGATTAATCTCGTTTCGCCGCGCGTAGTCGAAATCGAAGTCGTTTAGGCCGAAGAAGCGTGTGGCTCCGTTACTCGGTGGATGTAGCCTGGAATTAAAGTCTCAGTCTTGGCCGCCCTCCTTTACCGCCTCCGCCGTCTCC